GCATTTTAGACTATTAACTTATTGGTCTCTTCAACAAAAATTATATAGATTATTTAATCTTTTTTATTGTGGTGTGTTGTGGTGTGCCATTATAGCAAAGGCATGCAGAGTAGGAATGGTGGGAGGGCTTGAGTTTCCAATGTGGCTTGGAAGGAAGGATCCAAGGGGAGAAATATATATATATTTATATATATGGATTGTTTGAATTAACTGCTCCTTGTGGCTAGGAACCCAGATGTAAAAAAACAAATATGAAAAAGAAATACAAAATTCTATCAAAGAAACCTTTTTGTAACTTAAAAAAAAAAGGGTTACTATCATTGACATTTCATTTTACATGTGTATATAGTTATATGATAATCTTACAACTTGCTCATATGTAATTGTGTCATTAGTCACTTTGCTATTAGGTATAAACTTGTAGTTGTATAATTGGCAATGTTTCATTTCTCTAATGTTACATGCTGTGACAATGTTCAGTGTTCTGGAAAACCTCTCAGATTGGGGGTCAGGCTCCCACAGGAGAGGTAACTACACATAAAACAAATGTTTACTTTTTAAGTGGGTTAACAAAATTTGTCTGCCAGGGTTTAAAGTTTTAGTTTGCAAGAGATTTCAACATAATTATTAGATCTCAAGGCAGCCATCCTACATTATGCGTTCAGTGTGAATCTTGTTTGTAACCAAATAGCAAAGCAGTGGTAAATAATATATATATATATATATATATTAATATACATATATATATATATATATTAATATATATATATATATATATATATAATAGGGCTCACTGTATAGGAGTTCTCCTGTCATCATTGAAGGCACTGCTTTGTAGTCGAAGAAGATGGCGCTAGAGTTTAAATGTTTTGTTTTGAAAAGCTTATTACATTAGGGCTTGGGTAGGCTGGGAGTATATAGTATGTACATATGTATATAGATAGACTTTCATGGCTACATGGTTCAGAACTAAAACTACCTTAAACCACTGAAAAAGAAAGTTAGTCAATAAATGAACTTTCTGCCTTAAAAATTATCCTCATATTTATATACCTCAGTACATGTGTAGATAAATACATTTATATATCATTCAATGTTATGATATGACAATTGTATTAAATATGACACTTTTATATAATTATTGTATATTGATGTAAATGATTATCTTGGTAGATTTAGATGTACTAATTCAATCTTTTTCTGTCAGATTTAAATCTAGTTTTTTCATACGAACTTGGAATTGATGACTCAGAAAAAAAGATTTTTAACTATTTTTTTTTTTAAATTATGATGAACTCTGAAATCTAAAAAATTTATGTCAATTATTTGTAAGTTGCTTTTGCACAAATATTTAGAAACTGGAATCAAAAACTGTTTCTATTTTATTTAGTTCTTTCATCCTCTTGGAAATTATCAAAACTACATGATTTTTTAAGGGGGGGGGGGGGGGGGGGGGCATTATTCAGTCTGTATGGATGTTGGACTTTTTTCTTGAGTAAGAGTCTCACATTTGCTGGAATTGAAAGTTGGCAGGACATGGATGGAAGGGAGAACAAGAACATTAAAACAAATTAATACAAAAAAAGAAAATGCAACTGATATTGTTTAGCTCAACTCCAGGATTAAGTCAGAAAGTTAAGAGTTTCAGTGTTGTATGTTGTGTGTATTAATACTGAAGTCATTCCATTAAAGCTCATCTTAATTTATTTCTTCAATTCAAATGGTCAGCATTAACTCATCAAAAGTTGTGCATGAATGAATTTTATAGTAGTTATTTGATGTATTTATTTATTTTTTTTGCCTTAATATGTTTGACTGAGGCATGCTGGACATTAAGTTTAAGAAACTTACAAATAAATGAATAAATATTAAGTAGTTCTATTTAAATGACAATCTCTATGATTCAAAGTGCACTGAAAAAAAGAAAAAATCCAGACCTTTATAAATGTTTCAAACATGAATTTAATGTTGAACCATCATCTAAAAATACATTTTTCTGTATTTAGTATTTTACTCTGTAGTACACATTTTAAAACTGAACTGATTAATGACTATGATTTATTGTATTTATATTTTATAAATAAAGGAATGCAGATGACCTGAATAATGGAAAGTGAGTTATTTTTGTTTATTGTTTGTGTTTTGCAATAGTAAGTATCTGCGTATTGTCAATTGTAATCACAGCCCTTAAAAGGAGAAAAGCTTCTAGTAGTTTTGTCTGTCCATCTGTTTGTCATGTTTTGATCTCAAAAACTAGAAAAGATATTGACAATCAGATTTAATATTTTCCAGTTTACTAAGTTCTGGTGCAACTAGTACTTCTAATCTTCTGAAAGCTAATCATTTGTTTTAAAATTAAATATTAAGCTGTTTTTTCATAAAAACTATTAAAAGCATAAAAAAAAACAACAGGGGAGGCTATAGTAAGTGAGAGATTTTTCTGTATTTTTTTATAACATTTATGTAGACAGTTTTGTTATTTTCCAAAATAATGTTTTAAAAAATATTTACATTGTAAAAAATGATGAGGGTTTTTTGTATATGAGTTACTAACAATTTATGAAATACTTTTTTTTGTACGTATATATAATTAAAACATATTTTAAAAGACAATTCATTAAGCTTTGCTTAGGGCTGTTTATTACTACAACTATATTCACAGCAGGCAAATTCTCACACACACATCAAAAGGAAAGACTTCTTCTATATGCCATGAATGAGAGATTAGCCCTTCATCAATTGGATAATCATTTAATAAAGCCAGGCTCATACTGAACCATATCTTCGTAACAATGAGACACACGATTATTAACAAAGTAATATTAGCTGGCATGACTATAGGATCATATCAACAACAATTTTGAACTATTTTGTATGGGTGGTAGAAGGATTTTGGTCGTTGATAGTTTGTAGTTGGCCACAAATATTCTTGATGAAAATATTTAAACCTGCCTTTTTTTTTAATCTGCCAAGGTGGTCTACTTTGGGGTCCGCTTCCGAATCAGTGCAATTTTGTTTTTTTTACTAATTGGTGTTTTAGAAAGCTAGCTGGTCATGTGGAATGTAAAAAAAAGAAAGAAAATGGCAATGGCATCAATTAGATGAAAATCTATTTCCTCTGAGAGCAATTTTTATATTAGGAAAGATGGGTTGGAGAGATGAGAACATCGAGGAGAGAAGGGCATAGATCTAAAAGATTTAATGGAGAAATACAAATTTGTTTTTAAAAAAATACTACAGTAATCACTCGACACTTCACTTTTTGTGTTGTTTTTTTAACCTAAGATCATGTAAAAGCAATGGCAGGGTTTATAAAGCTTTTGTTATATTGTGTAAATACTTATTTAAATATACCATACATACCAAACCGTATACATCACATCACTAGGTCCTCTGGGCTTGCAAAGACCTTCCTTAAGGGAATACTACCAAGAAAAAGAAGAGGCTGACAGAGAAAGCAATAGAAACAGCATAAAAGAATGGACAGGTCTGTCAATGAATGAGATTCTATCCAAGGGAAAACAGAAAGGAATGGAGAAAAATGGTCAATGGATCTTGTATGGTGCCCCAACAGTGACTAAGGTGAAGGTAAAATATGCCAATTCTATTACACTGATTCTTGGTTATTGTGGGTGGTCCTAAAAACCATCTGCCTCAAGATGTACCATGAGGGGATCACTGTGCATGTTTCAACTTTTCACACCACCCTTCATATTGAATTGAATGATATGCATTAACTAAATTTAATTTTTGTTTCACTTTTAAGAAACTTTAAACATGAACATCTGTCAATTTCACCTGTTTAATGTATCCTCATTTTCTTTGTTATGAACAAATTTACATTTGAAATAATGAACTAAAAAATTGACTCTAAGAAACACAAGAAAAAATGAATCACTACACTGAACAGACAAAGAAGAAAGTGTGACGTAAATATAAATAAATTGCACATAAGTTAGTCATTCTAAGAACATTGATAAACACTCTATCAATGTCCAGCCTCACACAAAACTGAATGAACAGATGAGTCAATAGTTAAAATCAAAACATCCAAATCAAGTAAGAGAAAAAAAAAAGATCTTAGCTTTAGATATTTATATCATCACAAAAACATTATCTTGGTCAAATTTAAACATTCTATTATATATATTTAATAGCATCTGATTAAAGCTAACTATAGAGCTTTTATATAGGATTCATTCACTTTAAAACCATTCTTCAAGTTCATTTACCATCATTACATTACAGTAACATTCAGAAAATGTTTACAACACTTTTAAAATATGTACACCAACCTGATAGACTAATTTATATCTCACTTCTTTGGGACAAAATAGAAATAAACAATTTGACGCTTCTAAACAAATTATACATATTTTAATTTTCCTTGCTACAATATTTACTGAATAAAAAAACATTTTGGATAAGAATTTTGATTTGAATGTAAATTGACATAGACTTAAAGAAAATTAGCATAGATTTTCACATTTAAGGGTTCTAGACTGTACTAGGACAAACAGATCCTTTGGAATCTCAATTTGATTGTGCAAAGATTTACTAGGATTTGAATAATTCCTCAAGTGTTAAACAGTATTTATTGCTTTAACAGTAAAGAATAGTAAAAGAAAAAGAAGCTCATTTTGATGAAATATTTTATATTGCTCTACACCTAATATGTCAATTCTCTAAAAGTAAAAAAACAACAAGTACATATACACACAGAATCAGAAAACTATTTGTAGAAACTCAAAAAGATAAGCAATCATTCACATAGTAGGGATAATATGTTTCTCACACAAACACTTTCTATCATTTGCTCAGCCTTGCCACAACAAAGACATCAATAAGCAAATAATTTTTCACCGAGTGAAACAGACGTAAAGAAAATTAAAGATTATTCTTTTGAAGTGGCTGGCATTCTGAGTTTCTAAGCCTGAATTTTGAGAAAGAGATAGGAATGTATTGAGGCGTAATAATACATTCAAGGCTGATGAATATTATACCCTAAGAGTTTTGATAGTTTTACATTTAAACTACCGGTACCATAGAACCAGTAGTTATAAAAAGAGATTCAAACCAATAGTATGATTTTTTTTTCTTTCCTTTAGTAATCTGCCACATCCAATGAGTCCTTTAACTTTCTGATCAATAAATGATTAACTTCCCTTTATACTTGTTCAGATAAGGAGATGGCAGAATTAATATCTAGTTTTTCAAGGAATAATATGGACAGGCAGAGGGGTTAATAAGAACAAAGTGATGAGATCACTGGATGTGCACACAACAGCAAATATCATTCTGAGAGGAAATGTGATTTGACTCCTTATTAGCCCCCTCACTTCATGCTGGGGTTTACGTCACTAAAGTATGGATGCTGGAGGCTGTCTTCAGCTGATAAACGGTTCGGGGGAAAACAAACCAACAGTTTCTGTTTGGAAAGACAAAAATGGAGTAAAACAAATAAAAATTTATGAAATACAAGAAAGGTTTCTAAAATGATATCTGGGTTTTACTCTGAAATATACTTAGAGTGTTTGAACACATGTTTAAGAATCCTGTTTAACTGCGACAACCAACCAAGTTAGAAATAAGGTGAGCAATTATTATTTTAAAAAAAGAAATTGTCACAAATTTGGTGCTCCTGGTTGATTGTGATTATGCTACAATTATTTTAAATGTTGATCAAACAATTATTATAAATAAAAAAATAATTGATACACACAAATGTATAAAAAATGTATATTTCTATTAAAATTAAAATATAATTTACTCTGCATTGTCATACCAAAATGTTTAGATGGAATGATGCAATGGATCTAACATAAACCAAAATTTAATCAGAAAATAGTTATAAGGTTTACGAAGCAGGACGTTTTGGCACAGCTATTCTAGGGCGATAGTCATTTTCAAATTGTTTTGATCACATTATTTATGTTCATTATAATATTTCTTTAAACAAGAATGATACATATCTATGTTTTGTATGTGTGTTTGTGTCTAACATATTTGTCATGTAGAGAACAAGAGATATTTGCGTCTCTTATTTTGGTTTTTGTAATTATTGTTAAATCACATGATAACATAAGCGTGTCTTTTAATATTGTCCAAATAAAAATAAAACAATAATAGAAAAAATTGATGCAATTTCAGGTGGAAACAAAAATCATTTGTTTAATTTATAGCACCTTTAACTACAAAAAGGAGGGGAAACAGATGAATGTCATTATGTGCGTCTTGCACAGCTCACATTTAGTTTATGGCGGGGGAAGTATGTTAATATCATGGTCCCAGGATGAAATCTACTTTGTATATTTTATAAGTTTTTGAATATTTCCTCAGAATTAAGAATTATAGAATCCTAATACAAACCAACCATAGGGTGGTGGGGGATTGCCCCAAGAAGGGTTTGAACCTAGAGGCAATACCACATGACCAGGCAAACATCCATAGCTCACACTATGTCCATTAATCAATGTGATATATCATTAATTGCATGTATATTCATATTTGTGTTTCACATCATTTTCTTATTACTTTGGCTTGTGCATGTTTGTTTATTGAGTGGAACACTTTTATTTTCAAAAATATTTGTTGAAGTAATTACACTAATTTACAAACAAAAATAAAGTGAAACAATGAAAAAATAATCAATGCCATTTTTCATTTACACAAAAAAAAAAAGATTTATTTAATTTAATTAACTTAAGGTATATGCTCTGTGTAAGTCTTTTCTTCAGTTTGTTTGCCTTTATCTATGCCAAGAGAAGTTGTGTCCCCCAAATCACCATTACCTAAAAAATTTTTTTTAATCTAAAATCTATCTTTTAAAGGTTTTGGACATTAAACTAGACTAATATCAAAACTTTTAAAAAATGGCTTTTGGAAATATAAATCAATGGATGTAATCCTGTGCGCTTGGCAGAACTCACATATAATTTAGGGGGAGAGAGGGAAGCATGTCATTACCGTAGCCTCAGGTAGATATTATATATTCATGAAATAATAAAAACCTTTGTCAAAAAACAATTCAGTAGCTGGGGATAGAATTCATGCTATATATACAATAATTTATTATACTGAAATAAACTTAATTATAAAAGCTACATCTTTTGTAAATTATAGTCAGAATATGTCACACCAAAACATCCCCTGGGCCAAAACAGCTCATGCCAAAATGTCACATACTGATAGATCTAATAGATGATTTTGAAAAGTTTAGGTATTAATAAGCCAATAGATGCCATGTCATTACACTTTTCTAGAGCATATGATGCAATTCTTACTTAGGCCTACTGAAAAATGTGAACTGAGTAAGAAATGAAGAAAACAAAATGGAATATAAATGGTTACGAGACAATTTAAGAGTTAGAAGGAAAAAAAAAAAGGATTCAATAAATAATCTCAAAATATGTGAGCAACTATTCACTCATCAAAAGAATTTACCTGCAACAAATCTCTGCCTTTAGAATTGAGTTTTGGAACAACCTGTTGCCATGTGGTACTCACATGATACATAGGAAATGGCTGCAAGCAAACATAACAAAGAATATTTTAGAAAAGGGAGGTAGTATTGCAAAATAATTCAACAATGCACAATCACTTCTAAGGGGTATTTTTAAAAGGGCAGACTGTTTTGGTATGAATGCAAAGCAGTACCATTGATCAACAAATGGCAAACTGTTTTGGTATGAATGCAGAGCAGTACCATTGGTCAACAATGCATAACTGTACAGAGTGAATATAAAGTGGTGTGGTGTAAATGAAGAACTGTACAGTGTGAATGTAAAGTGGTATGGTGTAAATGAAGAACTGTACAGTGTGAATATAAAGTGGTGTGGTGTGAATGAAGAACTGTACAGTGTGAATATAAAGTGTTGTGAATGAAGAGCTGTACAGTGTGAATGTAAAGTGATGTGGTGTAAATTAAGAGCAGGAAATTGGTTGCTGAATGGAAATGTTGGTAGAAGACAAACAGATGCCTGAGAGGATTGATATAAATTTTGTTTATTTAATATCACTGTCATCCTTTGAAATAAAACTATTTGAAAAAATCAATCTCATTTCTGTTATTGAATGAATTACTGCAGTGTTTCCCAAACTGTGTTCTCCTGAATCCTAGTGTTCAGCGAGGCCTGAATTGGTGTTCCACGAGGTACTGGAATAATTAACTAGTAGGCCAACATGTAAATTAATCTCTCTAAAATAAGCAAAGGTTTGCACTAAATACTCAGTTCCATTTATGAGATATGGAGACAAGCTAAGCTAGACATTTGTTTTTTTGCAAGACATAATATCTAATAAAATATATAAGAGACATAGGCCTAAATGTTTCTCAGTTACTAGTTGTATAGTTACATAAAGAAAAGGTTATTTTTAATCTTTAGGAGTGTACTTAGTAAATAATTGTGTTCCTGTATCCTTTAAAAACTATTTAAAAACTATTAGTTTACTTTAAGAAGTAGCTCAACTTAAAAGTGTGAACATATACGAGAACACTACCAAAGAGTGTGTGCCACTGCCACTATATAAGTGTCAAGGACATATTTGAAAATGATAAGAATTAGGGAAATTCAATAACAGTGCATGGGAAATAAAATAACAGTGCATAAGAAAGTAAGAGTACAGCACCCCTTTCAGACCTTGCAATATCTATAGGCAGATGATATCATCTATTTCTTTAGCTGATGATTAATGAGGGTATTATGTGGCCAGCACAACTAATGTCAGGTACCCATTAGAGTTGGGTGGACTCAGGGACATCCTAAAGTTTAAAGTTCATATCTTCACAGTTTTGACCATGGCCCTCTCAGTTAAGAAGCCACATATGTTACCACTTAGCTACCATGCCCCAATAGCAGTGCATTCATTGCCAAATTTAATTAGCTTATAAAGGAAAACTGAACTAATCTAGAGTCATAGGATAAATTTTAAATTAAAATTAAAAACAGCTGAGCTTAATGAGTCTATATCTACATGTGTATCATACTAACCCTGTAGTTAGGCAGAAGTGCCATATTTGGCCAGGTTTCTTCAGTTGGGGTGCCTAACAGTCTAAAAAAAAATATTTACTTTTGAAAGAATGTACATGATCCTTTGAAATAGTAATACAATTACATTTTTAAGTACATTATTTTTTTCAAAATAAAATGAATTTACTTGAAAATTCTTTTTAGCTGGTCATCGTCATCATTGCCAGGGAATAGTGGCCGCCCAGCATTCGCCAGCTCTGTGGTTTAACAAACATCTACATTAATGAATAGCTTTGGTAAGAATTAGAATGCAATTAAATAAGGAAATATAATTAAATTTAATTTTAAAAATCTTTTTTCTTTCTTAAAACAATATTATTTAACTTATTTTTATGCATTTTTCATATTTATTTTTAAATGTAACTCTGGCCTTAATTATCAACCTTTTTTACTACTTGGATCATATATGTATTTTTTTTCAAAGGTATAAACAATCATTTTTTTTGGTCGTCTTAAAGGAAGTTTCTTTTGAGTTCTCCCTAACACAATCAGAGGTCAAGACAGGTTTAGAAATGCTCAGACTCTAGGCAATATTATAGCATCTGAGATGGCATTACTTGCTTGTAATATTAAGGAAACATTAGCCCTAGTATATAAAAAAAGCAAGGTTGAAGTACATACATACAGTCAAATATAATAAAATAAATGAAACTAATTGAGAATATTTCATAACTCCCATTATTCCACTAGAATAGAATGCCATATAAATGTGTTTTAGAAATCTTGCGAACTATTCAAGGAAAAAAGCACTGACCTGCAAAAATGCAGCCAGCTGACCACATGTCTATAGAAGTTGAATACATTTTGGCACCAAATAAGACATCGGGTGGGCGATACCACAGAGTGACGACCTGGTAAGAAATTATTTTATTTTTAACTATTTAAATTCATTTCAAAAAGTGAAACACTTCTTTTAATAGAAGTATCAAGCATCTTTCTCTTTTTTTTTGTCTTAATTTATTTTTAAACTTATTACTGCAATCCTTTCACAATTAATTTTTTTTTATTCTTCTAGCTATTCTTTTTTTTTTTTTCATAACTAACCTCTGCAGAATAAAATCTGACAGGAAAGCCAAAAGCTCGAGCAAGCCCAAAGTCTCCAAGCTTCAATTCCCCATTCTTGTTATGAAATTGGATGCAAATATATTAGTTCATGATAATATAAAGGTTTTAAAATTGAAAAAAAGAAAGACA